CAAAAAACTTATTCCCTTTTACCAAATTTCATTCGCATGTCATCTAAATATCATCAATTCTACACATTAATTTACTTTTCTTTGAAGGACAAATTTCATTTTTTTTTCAATAGGTTTTACTTTCATAATAGATGTCCATATTCCAAAATGTAATCAAATAATAAGTTGAAAAAATAATTTGAAAAGAATAAATAGTTCATATTCTATTTAGAACTTGTTTAAATGAGCTTATAGCCTATGATTTATAAGTCAAAAGTCATAAGCGGATTTCTAAATTATGAATTTTGATTTATTTTTATCACTTTAACTTAAAAATAAGCTTTTATCTATACACTATAAAACTACTTAAAAATAAGCTTTTATCTAAGCACTATAAAACTACTTAAAAACTATTTTAACTTAAAAACACCTAAAATAAATCAATCAAACCGCCAGAATAAATACTCATAGAACCACCAATTATTTCATCCTTTATAACTGTTTTTGGAAAATCTAAATAGAACTAAGTTATAAGAATAAATTCTTTTTTCAAATAAGATAGAGTAAGCTATATCTTGAAACTACTACTAGATCATGAACTAGATCAATATTTGACATGATATATACCAACCAAGAAATTCTAGTATTTGCCATGTTTTTTAATTGTATCAAAGAATGAGGAGGTAGGTCAAAGCTACTGTAAAGTACATTGAATGTAGAATATATGGTTTCATATTGTATAGTGTCTCTAACTAATAATAAAATAATAATAATAATACTATGTATGGCATCATATATATGTAAAGTCTCTTTCACATAACAAAATCAAACTTAAAAAGATTTATAGTTGTCAGGCCACTTATGGTCATCGTGGATCGTGAGATAAACTTGTTTAATATATATATTTTTAAATTCGCATGCTCCATACTTATTAGAAACTTAAAGGTTTTATACATACCAATTAAAACAACAATTTCATTCATAAAATAAAGAGTCTTCTAACACAAATTAATAAATAACATACTTGTAAAAATAAATTAATCTTATCAATTCAAGAGGATTTTTAGTAATCGATTGATATTTTTGGAGAAGAAGGAAGACAGGCGTTGATTCTTGAAAAAGAGAGAAAGTGTAGCATTGATTTTATGAAACAAATGATTTCTGAAACAAAAATTAGTGTGTTTAAAGAGTCTGAATGAATTTAAGACTCTTTTTCATATCTGATTAAATTAGGCATTTTTAGTTCTTTTAAAAAAAAAATATATTTAATAGACTGAGTGTAAACTATTCAAATCCAGACCTTCAATAAATGTAAACATATAAGATCGTAATCGGAGGAAGTAGTAACGTGTTTTGTGTTTACATAACATATTGAACACCATTATCTGAATTATAAAACAAGATAAAGTAATTTGTTTTAAGCCTTTGTATGCGTGTTGAATAATCAGAAAGCGAGTAGATCGCTAGGAAATATCTTATGTCACTACCATGCTACTTTTTTTTTCCTGTCACCTAAAATTGAAGATGGGAGTGCTTTTTATCGAAACAACTTTTTGTTGTCCATAAAAATTTGTTTCATTCTTTCCTGTTTTTGAATTGATAACTGTCTTGTTGGGTTATGAAGGTGATTATGACGTCATGCGGAAGTTTACAATTGCAAATAATATGATGATAAATCAGATGACAAATAAAAGTATACTAAAAACATATTATTAATATAGTTTGGTCCAACGACCTACATATTATATTGAAAAAAAAACATAAATATGTTTAGGAGAAAATCTCCCCATAAGCAACTTTCTAAACGACTACACTGTGGATTCTATTATGTTCTGTTATGAGAATAGGGATCTTCAATTTATAGATCTCCAAACATTTCCTCTAAGAAAAGAATAAACCAAACATGGAAGAAAATTATATTTTCCTTTCAAAAAAAATTCAAGCATTTATGGTACGTAATACTTTGACTTTTCTTTAAGGAAAAAAATAAACTTCAAATAAGGAAAGAAAATCAAGGTAAAACCCTAACATATCTTTCACTTAACATAGCCTTTTCTGTTTCATGAAGTAACAAGACATAATACAAAAATATTTATCTAGCATTCAAGGGTATGATTTAGTGATCAATGAAGTGGTTGAGAATACTAAGTTCTTAAGATCAAAACTCAGCAGAGAGAAAAACACTAGTGATTCTTCACATTTGTTCTAACTTTGGGGGATAGAGTTACTTCGTATTTATTGTTGGTGGTGTTAGGATTTTGCCCTGATGTTCTTTTATTTGAAGTTTATTTTTTTTCCTAAAAGAAAAGACAAAACATTATCATAAATGTTTTTACTTTTCATGTAATGAATTTTTTTTCATATTTGGTTTATTCTTTCCTTAGTGGAAAAGTTTGGAGATCTATAAAATGAAGATTCCTATTCTCATAACAAAACACAATAACATCCACAATATAGTCATTCAAAGAGTCTTGTTTATGGGGAGATTTTCTCTAAACATCTTTATGTTTTTCGATATTAGTTTTATCATATGTAGATCGTTTGACCAAACCATATCGTCTTTAGGATACTTTTATTTGTCAATCATATGATTTGCAATTTTGACACCTTAATTACTTTCGAACCCAACAGGTGGGAGGTGACAGATATCCAGTGGAACTAATCCGCTGACCTCACAAAGCTTGTTTGATGAGGTTTTGAAAATTAAAACTATTTATCATAGAAAAATGAGTTGGTTAATTAAGTTTTTAAGTAAAAATAAGTATTTTAAAGTAAAATTAAAATCAATATTTTGAAATTTAAGAAGTAATTTTTTCTCAATTTTTTTAAAAGTACATTGTTAGTCGATAAAATATTACTTCATCCGTCCAACAATAGTTGTCCACTATATTATTTTGAGATGTCCAATAATACATGTCCATTATATGAAGTCAATAGATGATTTTATTTTTAGTTCCCGATGTACATTTATCATTAATTATAGTCATTTCTTTGTTACATTTTTTAAGATATTCTTTTTATTATATTCAAAAGATCATATAATAAAATTATCATTTTATTTATAATTTCATATGAAGTGTGCCTAGTATATAACGAGCGAGTATTATTCGAAAAAAGATATTTGTAACAATCGTACTATCCAAATAAATGCGGTACGCAAGCGTTATAGGTGAATAAAGGTGATTAATAACCAATTATTCACGTGGGCATATGCTGTCTTTGGTCCACTTAATTGCCCATCCTAGCTTAGCTCTACAAATAGGAGTAAATTCCTGCCTAAAATATTTCATTATTTTATAATAATGGGCAAAAGTTTTAACTGATTTGGGATTTCTTCACTTGGGGTCTTGGGTGGGTAGGAGTTTCTGAAAATAGAATTTTTTAAAAATTATTCTCTAAATATCAGATGAGTATTGTAACGTGAGAATTCAAGTTTAATTAGATGTTAAATAATTGACAATAAAGTTGGTTTGACAAAGAGTGTGCAGGGAATGAATTTTTTGTAAAAAATAAAATAAAATCGTCTCTCAAGTATTGTTGTTCCAGCTGTGTACTTTTTTTAGGCCAATTTGAAAGAAAAAAAATTGGCCCAAGCTTCATTATTCTAGCCAAATAAAATTAGTTTTATTAAAATAAAGAAAAAAGGGTCTGATAACTAATCAACTTTGAAAAAAAAAAAACTAATCAATTTTGTTATATAGAACTGATATATTCATCGTTATAAAGTGATTTATATATACCTTCTCTTATGCAAATGGTTCATCAGTCATCATATACTCTTTTGCTCTAACATAAGTGATTTTTTTTTATTATTGGAAAAATAATAATTCATTAGGGATATATTTGATCCTTCTCACGCGTTTTTCTTTTGACTTATTTTATTCATCGATTAATTTGAATTTATTATTTTGATGGTCAAATTTACTTTTTTCACTTATTTTATTGTAAAATTTATTGTAGATGCCATAACATTTTTTTATAGATACAAAAATAAAATTCATATAGCCGCAAAAAAATTAATTTTAATTCTTTTTAACTTTTTAATAGTTTTTTCCATTCACACTTCTTTTATTTTGTTCCACTATTTTTCATTAAAGAATAATAAAAAAAAATTCAAATAATAATAATCAAAGAAGTCAAAAAATAATCTGTGTGAAAGGTCAAAATACATTATTTTTTTTTTAAAAAAATAATAAATTTAACATTATTTTTTTCACTTTTGTAACAGTAAGGGAATATGTGAGTCATTTTTTGTAATGGTAGGGGATATGTGAGCCATTTTTGTAACGTTAGGAGTATATGTGAGCCATTTTTGTAACGTTAGGGGTATATGTGAGCCATTTATGTAACGTTATGAGTATATGTGAGGCATTTTTGTAACGAGTGGTATATCAACTCTAAATTATAAAGCTGAGGGGTTATTAAATTTTTTTCTTTAAAAATAATAAGAATTAATATATAAATATGCCCTTTAACTTGGTTTTAACTCACATTTACGTATACCAAACTTTGGATGTGAACAAGTAGACACTTAAATTTATATAAAGTTGAACAAATAAACACACATGTCATACATGCATGACAATTTTCGTTATATGTAATGTCCTATATGTATTATGTCACGTAAGATTCATGTATCTAATTGTTCAATTTTATACAAGTTAAAATATTACTTATGCACATTCAAAGTCAGAGGTCATAAATGTAAAACAAAGCTCATACCAAATAATGAAGTACCCACGGTGTACTTCTTCTTAAGATAGAGGCTGATACCAAATAATAAAGTACCCACGGTGTACTTCTTCCTAAGATAATATATAATGAAATATTTATTTAACTGCTATTTTCTTCTCAAGCTAATCAATTTTTTTAAAAAAATTAATTAGATGCAATGACTATTAATTTCAAATGTGAAATTCTAGACAAGACTTTTTACTAATTTGACCCAACACGTGATTAGCAAGAGTAAAAAAAAACTATATAATAGAGATAGGAAAAGAACAAAAAATAGAAATGTGGCTATCTTTTAAGTAGCATTTATCTACACAATAATAATATGGAGAAAATTGGAGAAATTAAAAGTTTTAATATGGAGAAAATTCCAAAGAAGCATTTTGTTCTAGTTCATGGATTTTGTCATGGTGCTTGGTGTTGGTACAAAATTATCAATTCATTGGAAAAATGTGGTCATAAAGTGACTGCTTTAGACCTTGGTGGTTCTGGAATTAATATGAAACAATTGAATGAAATTGATTCAATATTTGATTATGTTCAACCTTTGATGGATTTTATGATCTCTTTGTCTAATGATGAAAAGGTTGTTTTGGTTGGTCATAGTTATGGTGGTCTTTGTATTTCTCTTGCTATGGAAGCTTTTCCACACAAAATCTCAACAGGAATTTTCATCTCTGCTTATATGCCTAATCATGTGGATCCACCTGCTCTACTTATTCTTGAGGTAATTTCTTCATACATTCTAAGAGTTCAATTTTCATATGATGCCATAACAAAAAAGTATTTCGTTTGGCTATCTTAATTTATGTGATATTTTTTGCTGTTTGTTTCAGTTTATATAGTACTTTTTGTTTTTTGAGAGTTGATTTATGATCAACTTATGACTTTTTGCTTTTAGTTCTTCTATTCATGAGGTAATTTCTGCAATCCATTTGAGTTCAATTTTCATTACAAAAAGGAAAAGAAAAAAGTACTCTATCTATCTCAATTTTGTGTCATACTTTTCGCTTTCTGCTTTTTGCTTTTTGAGAGTTAATTTGACTAATTTTTAATGATAAATTGATTAGATAAGAATAAGATTGAAGTAAATATCATAGAATAAGATTTGATCCTATTTATAGAGATTCAGTCCACTAAAGTCTTGGGTAAACAGTAAATGATCAGATCCCAAAGCTAGTAAGTATTTTCTTTTTCATGAAAGAAATTTATTTTCAAAGATTCTACATAAATTTATGTATGAAACTGGGATAGTTACCTTTCAGAAAATTCTAACACTAGTAAAAATGTTTATGCTTTATTCTTCATACGATTAGCTAGCTTGTGGCAGCAAAATGATTAGATGTCCCCCCATGCTGCTATGATTTTTTGTTGTCCAAACTTGATAGCGCTTTAAGTTAGGGAGCTGGATGATAATAGCTCATCCACATCCTAAAGTGTGTTGCCCTTCTAGCCATGTACATTTAAGAGTTCAAATTTCATATCATCCCATCACAAAAAAGTACTTCGTCTCTCTATCTTAATTTATGTGGTACTTTTTATAGTTCGTCTTAATTTATATGATACTTTTTGCTTTTTGAGAGTTGATTTATGATCAACTTTTGACTTTTAGCTTTTAGCTTTTAGCTCTTCTTATTCATGAGGTAATTTCTGCAATCCACTTGAATTCAATTTTCATCAAAAAAGGAAAAGAACAAAGTACTCTATCTATCTCAATTTTGTGTTATACTTTTCGCTTTAATTTCTGCTTTCTATTTTTTGAGAGTTAATTTGATTAATTTTTAATGCTCAATTGATTAGATTAGAAAAAGATTGAAGTAGATATCATGAAATAAGATTTGATCCTACTCATAGAGATTCAGTCCACTATAGTTTGGGCAATAGTAAATGATCAGATCTCAAAGGTAGTAAGTATTTTCTTTTTCATGAAAGAATGTTTTCGAAAATTCTATATAAATTTATGTATGAAACTGGTATAGTTACCTTTCAGAAAATTCTAACACTAGTAGAAATGTTTATGCTTTATTCTTCATACGATTAGCTAGCTTGTGGCAGCAAAATGATTAGATGTCCCCCCATGCTATGATTTTATACGATTAGCTAGCTTGTGACAGCAAAATGATTAAATGTCTCCCATGCTATGATTTTTTGCTGACTAATAGTTAATCTCTTTGGAAATTTTATCTGGGTGATATTTCTTTTAAATGTTACAAATGTATTTCGTACAATATCCACTAAATTATTGAAAATTCTAACTTCATAATAATTCTACAGAACTTTGAAGTGACAATTTGTCTCATAATAATGTTTAACACCTTTTACTGAATATGTTATTATTATTCAATTTATATACGGTCACTTTGCAGTACTTCAGGAGGACTTCAGTGGAGTCGCTTATGGATTGCCAATTTACGTTTGATCAAGGAATGGAAAATCCACCAACAAGTGCTATTTTTGGCCCACAGTACATGCAAGCTAATCTTTACAAGCATTGCCAACCAGAGGTTATTGCTCCTTTTTTATTTTAACATATGAATATACATTTTATTATAAGATTTGCGGGTGAATATATCATAAATTAAAGTTAAAAAATAAAATAATAAATATTCAGGCTAAGACATACTATATCATCTCTTTAAAAAGATCTTTATGATATGATTAATTTATATCAATCCAATTGTATAATTCTTGATTTGTCTCCTCTAAAATATAACAATCCAATAACATCGTACAACTCAAATAAATCTAGATTAATTGAAGAGTTTGAAGCTCCATCATTAAAACATCTTCATTCAATATCAAATTTCTTTCTTTTGAGATAAATATTTTTCTTTCTCTTTTTTTTTTTTTTTTTACCATCCTTCATAAAGAAGGAAACATCACTATTTATAAGTGTGAAGTTTTCCATATATTAAACAGCAAAGAAATGGGATAGTAATATTGTAGAACATGTGGTTAGTGGGTATTAGTGGTACTAGATTATGACATTAGTGGCTACATGAGTTCGATCAAGAAATAATGACTATTTTTAAAAAATAAAATTATACCTATTAACCTATGCACTTTACTATTTTAATTTAATATTGAAATGCATAAACACCAATCAGGATCGTATGTGTGTCCTCTTAAACATGTCCAATATTATATGATGCATTAGCGCTAGAAAACATATGGTTTTTAATTAGTGTTATGATTGATTCCTCATAGTCATTCAATTAATAATTGTTATTTTAGTTTTTTTATTAAAAAATAAAATAAAAAAATGATTTTATAAAATGATATAATTAAATGACCATCTAAAAATCAACCCTCCATTATCACCAATAATGTTGGCAATTCTAACTCATTTGGCTTCTTCTGTAAGGCGCTAATGATACAATAATAACAACACATTCAGTGTGATCCTAATGTCAATTAGTATTTTTTTTGTTTATTTTTACTTGTGATGATTGGACTTGACACGTTTATTAAAAAAATAATGATTGACATGACTATTAATGTACTATATTATCCCTAATATTATGTCTTAAAAAATGATTTGGAAAATAAGTAATTAATGTTAAAAAAATAAAAAATCTTGATATGTTATAAGTGACAAATAAAACTGAAAATCTACTTTTAAAATAGTGAACAAACAAAAATTAACAGATGGAATATATATATATATTACTACCTACGTTCACTTTTAATTATCATGATTTCCTTTTTTAGATTCAAACTATAAGAACTTTGGATAACATTTTATGATGTATGTTTTCATTATATTAATATGCCAAAAAAAATGTAATTTATAGTACTTTTCGTATAGTTTTTGAATATCTAATTTTTTTTGTTTAAAATATTGAATTAATGTAATCTAATTTAACTTTAAAAATTAGTCAAATAGACTTTTAAAAAGCGGAACATGATAATTAAAAGTGGACGGAAAATAGTAAAACAAATAATGTAAGTGACACAAAAGGAGTTCATGATAATTTATTAATATTCTGTTCACATTAGGAGAATTTTCATTTGGGTCCCAAATTTAAAGGTCCAAAATTCCATCAAATATTGCTTTACAATTTTGTCTCTTTTTTGGTTTTTACATAAATGAAAAAGTTTGATGAGACATCAATTTTTGCTAGGACTTGGAATTGTCAAAAATGTTGATAAGACCAGGAAAGTTTTTCATACAAGACATGTCAAAGGAAGGGTTATTGACACAAGAAAAATATGGGTCAATAAAAAGAGTTTACATTGTAACACAAGATGATCAAGTGATGCAAGAAGAATTTCAAATGTATAATATACACAAGAGTCCTCCAAATCAAGTCAAAGTTATTGCCAATTCTGGCCATATGGTTATGATATCCCAACCTCACAAGCTTTCCATATGCCTACAAGAAATAATTGAGATATAGTTATTATAGTACTAGTGAATTTATTTGATTGGTCATTCATGTTAGAATAAAAATAAGAATTTCAAAACTTATATCTTAGTCTCGATATATGTCCTTCGTTTTGTCTTGTTTGTTTAATATTTAAATTATGAAATGTTATTGTTATTCGTTTTAAGTTGTAATATTTTCTATGTTAACTCCCTCATAAGTCATACCTAAGTGACACCAAGAGTGATCTTGCTCTTATTTATTGTAATAATATGTAAGAGCTAGAAAATAGGCTAAAAACATATATATGGCATCCTACTTTTATTTTTAAAACTTTTTTTTAAAAAAATAATTTATTTTTAAAACTTATCTATTTAATGTTACTCTTTTTCTTAAGAAAAAAATGTTATTGTTATTTTAAAATATGAGCGTTCAACTATATTTACTGTTATTAATAAAGATATTGAATTTTGAAGAAGAAGAAAAACAAATCAATAAATGTAGATTTTTTATAAAAGAATTTTAAAAAACTGAATTATTGTTATGATAAAATTCGTATGTGATAGTAAGTAATAACTTGATAGTTAGATATCGTACTCATTAAGGCTTATGATTAATAATATATTTATTAAATTAAACTAATGTTATTTATTTATTTATTTATTCAAGCAATGAATTTCAAAATTATAATTATACTAGTGAACTGAATAATAATATTTTAATCACAAATCTAAATTGATAAAATTCAAGTTTTAATCTAATTTATTATTAACACTTACTTTCTTTTAACTTTCCATGCCTTGGAAAGTGTTAATAAATTTTGAAGAACAATTGATCTACTCATGTCTAGATTAAATCATAGTTTTCCTTTGTACATTATTTAGCATATGTATATATGTACTTATTTTCCTTTTCTTTAGAACTTATCGCATAGTTCAAACTTCTAATTGCACGCCTACTTATAAAAGTGTACTTAAATTAGGTCTTGAATTTAATTCTTACAGCACATTCATAGATCAAGTATATCTTTACTCCCACAATAGTTTGATTTCCGGGAGCTCACACGAGATTCGATTATGATATTATGTTAAATTAGATTTTAGATCTAATTGACCCTCAAAAATTAGCTCAAAAGAAGAAGCATTGGTCAAGCGTTATGAGTTATAAGGAGGCCCTTAGAACCATGAAAGTGTCACACTCCAAATCCGGATGTGATGGCACGTGTCCATTTCCCACTGGACACGTCAGCCTAACCCAACCACAACGATAGAGAAGTAGAAATACGAGAATAAAAGATAATAAATAAGCGGAAAACTTTAATTAAGACTCAACACTACCCAGAATTTGGTTGTCACATGTACAAACCTCTAAATACAGAATTCGAATAAAAATATACAAGTCTCAGAGTATAGTTCTCGAATAGAACAAAACTGAAAGTAAAGATAACTCAAGGGCACGTCTGGAATGAACTGCTACCTCTCGAGTATGTCCCGAAGCTCAATCTGCTAAAGAAACTACTAAGCCGAATCTGAGAGAGAGCTGTCAACCTACACAATTGTGTAGAAGCAAGGGTGAGTACCGAAAACCACAGGTACTCGCAAGTAAATTTAAACTAAGCAAAACTAGCAACTACAAACAACTCTTTTCAATCCCAACCGAACCACCGAAACTTCAATCTAGCAGCAAACCAACCAACCTATACTAAACAGATCATATTCAATAGCCAGAACCAACAGTATATCCTCATCAACCTCAGATCAACAAATAAGAGCAAGTAGATCAAATTCCACATAAGAAGGGTAAATCGATACAATCCACACATCACAGACAAAGATAAGGCAAATGTGATGCAAAATGCAATAATGATGTCATGTAGTCGTGATGCATGTCTGTCCTACGATACACATCTGTTGACGTAATCAATCCGCGCTGAATACTCAAATCAGAACCCATGGGGGCCACACATGGACCATGTATCACCGCCGGAACCAGATCCCATCGGCATCCAAATCGCTAGCCGGAGCTAGTCCATCTCATATATCTCTAGCCGGAGCTAGTCTCAACTGTGTCTCATATCCATCCATCCTCATATCAGTGTCTCAGAACTCATGCAACAGATAGTTCACACATGGGATGAATAATGAATATGCACATGTCATCAATCACAATCATATCACGATCACATCATAGTATTACACATCATCTGTCTCAATCACAACCATATCACGACCACATCATAGTATTACACATCACCTGTCTCAATCACCACCATATCACGACCACATCATAGTATTACACATCACCTATCTCAATCACAACCATATCATGACCACATCATAGTATTACACATCATCTGTCTCAACATCAATGTCTGTATCAATCATAGCCTACTCATGCTCTTCTATCCCCTCAATATCATTTATCACATGATTTATTCAACAAATTCTAGTCACATATAACACATTTAGCTCGTTTTATTCCCCATCTTTCATTTACAACAATTTCAATCAACAAATAAAACTCATCCTCAATCCCCATTACTCCCCAACACAATTAGGAAAGTAGTCATGCGTAGTCTAAGAGTTTTACAAAGTTTGGAAGCCACTTGCCTTAAAACGAACTCCAAAAGTTACTTGACTTGAGCCTTTCCTTTCCGAGTATAATTCGGATCACGATAATCTATTCAAACAATTATTCACAATCACAATTCGAGTCCAATGACACCAAAATCAAGAAATTTAGGAAAAAAGGGCAAAATAGTCCAAAAGTCTCATACCGGAAAACGATACCCAAATCTGGAAATTTTTGATGTAAAATGATCCTTAAAGTATTTGGAAGATAATGGTGAAAACCAATTTGAAAACGGAGTTGAAATCAATTCACAAACTCAATTTGAAGGAAAATCCACGTTCTTGAAGAAGCCTAAAATATTCGGATCCGAAATCCCGACTCGAAAATGAAATATCTCTTGAAAAACATCTTACCCATGCTTAGATAAGTTCAAATATGAAATTTCATCAAAAACGGAGTTAAGATCGACCTTGAAATTCTCAATTTATCAAACTTTAACTTTACCGGGAAAGTCCAAATTGTACGCGGTTAATATGATGAAAATAATCGATGAATCAATAATTTTATGTTAAAATCAGTTTACCCATAACATAAGGATCGTAAATATACCTTTTTCATCAAAAAGGGAGTCCAAATCGATAAAACCCCAATTTTTTCCAAGAGATTTACGGATAGGAAAAATAACCAGATAAAGAAATTATGAGAAAATGTCGAATTGAAGATTGAATACTAACCCTCATATTAATTCAAGAAGAAACCCGTAAGAATCACTCCATTCCGATCTCTAGAACTCCCGATATGCTCAAAATACCAAATGAACACAGTCTGAAATTTTTATAACAATACATGACTGTTATGCACCAGAAAAACAGCAGTTAATCTTTCACTAAAAAGGCCGTAATTTCCTCATACGATAGTGAAATGACCCGATTCTTTTTTTTGTAAATGTCTTAAATAATGATATGGATCTGCTCGTTCAATCGGAGCTCAATTTCATGCTCGTTGCCCAGTCAAATATCATTTCTACTCGGTAAACAATTATTTCTTATTTGCGATAAAAGTCCAATCTCGGGTTAGCGAAAATGCACCCAAAATTTGCAGATAAGTCCTATAATTCATGCTCAAAATTTCAGAACTTTCGGAATAATTTTTCGACCTTTAAAACTAATAATGAACCCTTTAGTTGCCACAATTTGCTGAAATAGTGTCAAAGCATCCAAGAAGCTTAAAAGCTCACCCAAAACTCATTTGGCACTTCCCAAACACAAACCAAATATGCTACTAGCTTGAAAATGACATTTCGGACTCAATGAAATCGTCGGAATTTGAATTCGAGGTCTCCTTGACCCGGTATCCAATAAGGTGTCAAGAAACTAACTTTAGGCTCAAAAACGCGAAACGCACTCGGGGCCTCTAAAAATTCAACCAAGACTCATTCTAGACTTAGAATCACCCCCTGAATCCAACGGTGCCCTCGGAATTCCATTTCGAGCACCGGAACCTCGTTTGTTGACCAAAGTCAACTCTTGATCAAAATTTCACAATTTTTGCAACTTAGGACCTCAAATCTTCGTTTTAACTCCAAATTCGACTCTGTAAATTCTCATAGACCCGTTTCGACATTCTAAAACTGCTGGATTCGACGGAAATCCGATTCGAGTCTCGAAACTCCAAATGACTCGAAATAGCACTTTTAATCAAACTTTAACTCTTAAAAACTCAACTTTCCAAAAACTCAACTTTTCATCAATTTTTCTTTAAACCAACTTCGAAAATACAACAATTAAGACTTGGGGCAACTATCGAGAGGGGTAAAACGGTCATTTTATAAAAATTTCCAAAAATGACCTTTAGGGTCATTACAGAAAGTTTCTCCCTTCTTCATATTTTCTCTCACCCATGACACACGTAATTTAAAAATGTACCCACTCTTGTTCTCAAGCATGTGAACGGGTAAAAAACTTAAAAAAAATATTTTGTTTGCTAGTGAAAATCAAGCTAAGCATAAAATTGGAATTAAAAAAATGCATGTGGCATGAGGCTAATTGAAAACCTTCTTAATTAATCTTTCTAAGCCAATTTTTTTAGTAATATCTACTTGTAAATTGTCGAAACAGTACCCATATATAATATAAAGACAGATGATACTATGGAATTGGAAATATGCCCATTGAAATGTCGCGGCGTAAGGCATTTAAATCAAAATATTTTTGATGCAACATATAAAACTGTCAATAAAAATTAATATCATTCTAATTAATCCCAAAATTTCTTTGTCATCTAACTAACCACCACTATTATATCCTAAGTAGGGGTGTACAAAATCGAACCGAAAACCGAATCAAATCGCAAATCGAGAAAAAAAAATCCGACTAGTGGTTGGTTTGACTTGGTTTGGTATTGAGAAAACAAACCCGACCATATTTGGGTTGGTTTGGTTTTAACTAAAAAAACCAACCCGAGACCAAACCAACCCGACATTATATATATAATTTTAAAATTTTATTTATACATAAAAATATTTACTTTGATATAATTTTTAAATATTTCTTATACTTTTTCATAGTTTTTATCTTTTAATATATTATTTCAAGTTTGAAACTTGGAATTCTG